GATTTGCATGAAATTTCGAAACGTTGTTTACACAAATGTCGATACACTAAAACATTACAAAATAAATTTATATTTTTTATAACTTAATTTTTTTGCAGGTTTCCTTCCAATCTAACAGAATGTAATAAATGGTTAAATAATGTAGAACTAAAATGACCCTTTTTTGAAAAAGCAAAGATTTGTAACCTCCATTTCAAATCAACCGATTACATTATTACGGGGAAACGACAGAGACAAGGCGTCACACCGTTTTTAAATGAAATAGCAGATTGTTCTCTGGTACAGGTATGAACTTTTGTTAGGTACTTGTTATTTCGTATTTCCATGCGATGTTTTGTTTCCAAGGGAAGAAAAGTAATTTAAAATTACAAAATTTTTCTCTTGATAATTTTTTTGAGAAAAAAATAAAAATGCATTCTGTTACCTAGAAAATTGGAACAGCTTATGTTATAACACTCGGCTATAATTTTTAAAAATATTTATTATTAAAATACTACTCTGTTGTTGCTTAACGAAATTGGAATCACAGTCCGCTCAATGATATGCGATGGCGCTCCATCGAATATACGAGCGTACCAATTTTTAGGCTGTTGTCTAGAACAAGAAAATTTTCAGCCATATTTTCTACACCCAAATGGTAGCGACAAAATTTATTATTTTTTGGATGCCGCACACATGTTGAAACTGGCACGTAATGTTCTAGCAGAACATGAAATATTATCATCAAGTGGGACCGCATCATTTTTCCTTTATTCGTAGTTTAAATACGGTACAAAGAGAAGAAGGCTTAAAATTTGGTAACAAATTATCATCTACCCACGTAGAATACGAAAATAAAAAATGAATGTCAAACTTGCGGCACAAGTTTTGAGTTCATCGGTGGCTGAGTCCATCGAGTTCTTAAGACTTAGTAGAAATCCGCTTTTTTTTTTGGGGAGTGAAGCCACGGTTGAGTTTTTAAAAATGATAGATAGGATATTTGATTTTATGAATTCCAAATCGCCTTTTGGACGTGGTTTCAAAAGTCCTATGAAAATTGAAAACAAAAAATATTGGGAACTGATTTTGCAACAGACAAAAGAATATTTAAAATCATTGAGTATCTCTAGCTCTAGGTTTTTTAATGAACAGTGAAAATTTTCCATTACTTTTTGCCGATTTATTAAACGTCATTCCTCCCATTAAATATCTTTTAACATTTAAATGTTCGCAGGATAATTTAGAAACATATTTTTCTTGTATTAGAGCCCGGGGTCGAACAAATGATAACCCCAGCCCTTTTGAATTCCGACATAGATTAAGAAAATTGTTATACCGAAACTCTATACAACCCTCAATTAATGGAAATTGCATTGATTATACATACGATGCAACGCATGTATTTGAATTCGGCAATAAACAATCATCCCTAGTAGAACCGATCTCAAATACTGATAATACAGATACTGATGATGAAATCGAAAGTCACTTACAGGCTTTAAAATCACAAAACACCCATACGGATTATCAAAAAATATTCTTTATTATATTACCGGATATATAATAAAAAATATTGTCAAACGGCTGAAATGTAATGAATGTAAAAATTTGCTAATTGCTGCAGATCATTCACAAACCGATCATTTATACGTTTTAAATGTAAATAAATATCAATCCTTTACAATACTTGTAAATCGAGGTAAATTGCATTTTCCATTCGCAGAGGTGTACAAAATTGTCCTTTTTGCGGATAAAATATTTAAAAGGGCATCAAATATGAATAGTCTGGGTCAACCTAATATTAAAAATGTATTAATCAATATCATTATTCAAGACTTCACACCACAGTTGCGACAAATGTTTTATCATCCTATGGATGACAGTATAAATTGCTCTGACTTTCATGAATCCATAATTTTAAAGTTAATTTGAAACTTTTTTTTGACCATGCGTCTCAGAACGCATCTAAAAAATTGTATGGACCAAAAGTTGAGTGTAGTTCGTACCAAGCGCCAAAAACTTCACAAAACTATTTTATTCAATCATGTATAAAAAATTGTGTTGTAAAAACCTTGGCTTCTAATTATTATTATTGTATCTTTCAATTTTGTAGACACTATTGCTATTGTAATAATAAATGTAAATAAAAACGATTGTTATTTTATTTTTATTATTTCCTTATGTTATTTTATAAGGTCGTCACTCCATCTAGTGGGTGGTCGCCCTACACTTCGCCTACCGGTACGAGGCTGCCACTCGAGAACCTTTCTTTCCCATCGAATTAATTAACGATGTTTTATAAAATATAATTAATTAAATTATATTATATTACCGGCGGACGAAGTAGGGCACCCCCACTATGACCTGGTAAGACATGCAGGAAGTGGATGGATGCAGGTGGCTCAGGACCGTGCTTTGTGGCATTTCTTGGGGGAGGCGTATGAGTGCAGTGGACTTATGAAGTTGTGATTTTATAAGGGATGTAAAGACAGCCTCCCGAAAACTTTAACCATAAACTCATCATGACCATCCCACTGAAGGAATATAAAACTTAACCATATAAATAAATATAAAAATATAATTTTTAATAAATTTATATCTATATAAATTTATTGTATTTAGTTACTTAAGTCACCTGCCACTAATTGAGGACCTTGCAGCAAAAGAGGGGCAGATCCAAATTTTAACCGTTACCTTTTTTTTCACCTACATTTTAAACAAAAAATTAGCTATGGTTTGGTGCATTTAGGAGGTAAATCCAACGACAAACAAGCGCGCTGTAACAAAATTTGGATCTGCTACCTTATTTTGTTTGTTGCAAGAAGGGAGCAAGTCCGGACCTGCCTCCTTCTTGCAACAAATGAAATTATTACATCATTTGTAAACAAGTCAGTGCACGTTTTACTTTTGATACGTTAAGTGTGTATTAAAATGAGTGACACTGAACCGTTTAGTAGCGGCTCGTCAGATATTTACCAGCCGCCTGTCTACGAGTCATGTTCAACCAGTTCAGATGATGATGGAAGCGATGTTGGTTTGTTGACATTTCAAAACCAAACTAATGAGGCGAGCGATAAAGGTATGAATATTTTGGATGAATTTAATACAGATAATCCATGCCCATCGACGAGTGGCATAGCGCCGAAAAAAAGAAAATCCGCGAATCCATCACAATGGAAACGGAATGTAATAAAGAAGTCTATTGCTACTGGAAAGGGCTATTTAAGGCTACAGTCTTTTAAAGTTGACTCACATCGAATCATTAGCGCCACTTTGATTTCTTTTTTTACAGCAAATTATTGTTTCAGAGTAAAATATTTTGATAACACATAAATACCCAGATTATAAGTAATGGCTAAATTTTTTTTTTTTGGTTCATCTATGTGGTCTATGTTAGAGATAAATCAAACGGTAAATAGAGCTCTCTCGCACCCAACGCAATTTCGAGCTTTGTTCGTGTACCATTATAAGGCAATCGATAATAAAAAGGCGAAATCTATTCAGCGCGTTAATAGCTAAACATCTTCATCTCCAAAATGCGCTGTTTCTTTTTTTCTAAATATCTTTCATTGTCTTAAATAAGAGGTCTCAATTTCGTTAAATTTCGCTGTTTTCGCCTCATAAAAAACTATTTGTTTCATAGCAATAGCTGAAAATATTTATGCTATAATTATTTTTTTCTCAAGGGCAGGTGTTTAATTAGACAAATATTAAAAAATAATAATTTAAACCACTTTATTTCAAAATTAATAATTATTTCGATCGACCTATAAAATATTGACTTTATAAACAATAATTGCGGGCAATATTCCTTAGTAGCCGCTGAGCGGCTGTAGCGTTCAGACGTCTTGTCTGTGCCAAATTTTTGCACTTCCTCTCGCTCTAACATTCCTCTTTCTCTCTCTTTCCCTAATCTTGGTTGCGCATTGTTACGAATTGAAAGTTGCTCTACTTTATTATTTTTTGCATATAATTCTTTAAGGGTTTATAAATCATTTTGTATTTGTTTTATAACTTTTAATTTCGATATGGACCATAAACGTAAAAAATATGCTTGTACCAGAAAACGAAAATTGAAATCAAACGTTGAAGCAATGAACAGAAATAGAATTCAAAGGTAAGTTTTTTTTGTGTTTCATAGTAAAATAGTTAACAACGTGCATATGTGTGAGCACTTGGTTAAATATTAGGTATATAATTAGGTAGGTACTTTTAAGAATAGTTTATAAATGAGTTGCATATTTGTAATGCATATAGGTAAATGCTATACAAAGTTACATTATACTTTAATGAGAAACTATAAATATGTGTGATAGTGGACTGTTTGTACTTATATAGAAATTATTTTGAGTTTTTTTTAAATCTATTTTAGTATTTAGAACTACTTGACGTACTTGACGGATTTTCGATAGTGTCATCGACTTATTACGAAACCCTCAGTGCACGACTCATTCTAGCACTTGCCAGATTCATTTGAATAATCAATAATACGAGTACATGTTATACAGGTTCTAGATGATTATCTTTTAGAAACCTTTTCAACAAAACAACAAAAATTATACAAACTTAAAATATTTTTTTTTGTGTAACGAATTTTGTAATAAAAGCATGGAACAAAAATAGATACGAGGTAGAAAATCTGTATGTGAAAATTTGTTAGCTAATTATCAATAATCCTGTATATTAGATAAATTGATACTGGAAAATCTTAGTAGAGCAATTTTCCACGCTACGGCCAGAAAGATAACTGCGGTGGCGGTACATGAAGTGGCGGGGCAGGGAGGGTGTAGATGTGTCACCAGAACGCAATTTTTCTGTTTTGCTCTGAAAGACTGGGCTCTTAAACTATAAAGGCCGTGAAATATGCGAAAGAAAAACTGGACCGGATTGTTGTTGTAAGAAGTATAAGTGTTTTGTTCAAATTAATGAAGAAGATAGGAAACAAATATTGGAAAATTTTAATAAATTAGAAGAAACCTATGTGCAAAACGTATACTTAGGCGGTTTAATTAAAACTAAGAATGTTGGAAAGATCTAAAACTGGTACGGGGAAGAAACGTAGTTGTTCACACAAATATTATATTAAATTAGGAAATAGAAATATACAAATTTGCAGAAATGGCTTTGCATCTATCCATGGAATATCCAAAAAGCGTGTAGACAATGTTGCTGAAGAGTATCGGGATCCTACTGTAACTACACCAGCTCAGCCTAATCGTGGAAAACATCAAAATAGACCAAATCGTATTCCAAGTGAATGGGTTTCTAAAGTTGACTTTCATATTATAAGTTTCCCACGTCGCGAGTCACACTACAGTAGAAATAAAAGCTCACGTTATTATCTGTCTCCAGAGTTGAACATTAAAAGGATGTACGAGTTATATTTGAAAAAGCATGAGCTTGGTCTTGAAGCATCTGCTAAGCCTATAGTATCATTTAATTTTTACTACAGATACTTTAAACAAAATTTTAAATACAGTTTTGGGTCACCTCGTTCAGATACTTGCAAGAAGTGCGACATGCTGAGTAACAAACTAAAAGATAAGACATTGGATAGCGATGAAACCCAACAAATACAGATAGAGAAGAGTCTTCATCAAGCCAAGGCCGACACTTTTTTTGTTGATTTAAAAGAGAAGAGTCAACTTGCTCTTAATAATGAAGAATGCGAAGTATTAACATTTGATTATCAGCAGAATATGCCATTACCTAAAATTCCAGCAGGTGAAGCATTTTATAAACGTCAACTTTGGGCATATAATTTTTGTATTCATTCAGCAAAAACAGGGATTGCTCACTTTTATTTATATGACGAAACCATAGGCCGAAAATCACCAAACGAAGTCATATCTTTTATAAATCACTACATAAATGACATTTTACCAAGCACAGTTAAAGTACTGTATTTATTTTCTGATAACGCAGCAGCACAAAATAATAACTCGACTTTAGTTCAGTATCTATATACGCTTATGCGGTGTTCATCTTTTGAGAAGATTGTTCATCGATTTCCAGAACCAGGACACAGCTTCTTACCGTGTGATCGGTGTTTCGGCGTAATAGAAAAGTTTAATAGAAGGAAAGATTACATATTTACGACTTCTGAATATGCCGATTGTATTACGCAAGCATCTAAAAATTTCAAAGTTGTAAATGCAAGTCAAAATATGATACTTAACTTCAGCCAACATTATGAGAGTCATTTCAAAAAAGTAAGAACAAATACAGAGAAGATTCGATTCAAAATATCTCAATATCGTATTTTTGAATATAGTAAAGACCACATTGAAACTATTGCAGTCAGTGTTACAACGGGAACGCCAGTATTTGATTATTTTCCTATAATGAGAAATGCTCAAGCCCAACTATCAGTTCTGCCTCAGAAACCGCTGTATGATTTTGGAAAACCGTTGAAAAAGGCTAAATACAACGATGTTATGCAGTTAGTAAAGAACTATGTTCCACCAAATAAACTATATTTCTACAGGGCCCTTAAAAGTGAAGCTGTCGGACCAACAGATGGTATTTCTAGCGAAGACGACGATGATCAAGCTGAAGTTAACCTTTAATTTTTTTTTGTTCAGCACTCATTCGTTTTTGTATTTATTTTGATTGTTTAATTCTTTGTGGACCGATTACTAATTCTTGAAATAAAAAAATAACCGTGTTTACCTGTTTTATTATCCTTAATACAAAATAGGGTAGTATTTTTTCTTCAATCTTGATGCAAAACGGAGGCAGATCCAAAATTTAAAAAATCGTAGTAATTCCATTACTTCTTCAATTGCCTTAAATCTTGAATAAAATGTGTATATATGTTCATATTATATAATACCATATAACGATAAGACATAAGTACATCAATCAATTTTTAAAAACCTTTTTTTTAAATACCCAACAGTTTTGAAATTTGGACTTGCCTCCCTTTAGCTGCAAGGTCCTCAATTTCTCACCACGCCATGGGTTGACTGGCAAAGAATGATAACTGGCATTAAGTCCGCCCTTTGTAACCTTTTTTATTGGTTTGAACAATAAAGTTTTTAAATAAAAATAATGAACATAAACTTTTTTCATAATATCCCAAATTCTTGTATTTTGTGTTCACCCTAATTAGAAAGAGACTGAGGGGTAATGAAAAATTTCAAGGTCGTTTTCTTGTATTTTTTATGTCATTCGAGAATGAAGGTTCCAGTTTGCACAACGTACATGTATTTCCATGGTTGCGTCGCTCTTCGCAAGCTATGCTTGTGTACAGGAGGTCCCATTCTGTTTTTGACGGAAAGTAAGAATTTTTAGTTCGTACATTTTTGTAATTATTAAAGTTTTATTAAAGTTAGAATATTATATAAAAGCCAGTTCTTCGTTAAGATCAACGGCAGAAAAGAATGGACTGAACAACTGCTCCCTATGAGGTATGCACATAAACGAGATGCGACTGGTGGCGATGATAATCAAGAACAAACAAATGCTTAAATGCACAAATGTTTCTCCCTCACATAGCACCTGTGTTTAAAAAAATACAAATTGTTCTCCTTCACATAGTCTTGTGTTTGATAACCCCTCTTCATATATTCACATTAACACACTAGATTTTTGCAAGATAAATAGCATTGTGATGCTATCTTTCCGACCCCACTGCTTACATAAACTCTAACCGCTTGATCGATCTGTATTCGGTCCGCCGAAGAAAGATGTAAGGCCGGTTTTAGAGCTCGACCGACCGTCAGTGCGTACCATCGGTCCTGACGATACGCATAACCAATCGTCAGTTTGTAGCGTTCAGAGCTTTCCTGAGCAACGAAACTGGCCGGACTGGTACAGTCACAAACACGTACACGAAATGGACGCGTTAATTGTTTAATTGCTGCTTACTATGTTCGTAAACGTATAAGGAACACAAGACGTGGTACGTGGTAGAGCCATGCTGCAATTATATTAGTAGTATAGTTGTAGCACGAATGGGTCGGCTCGACCGGGGAAGGACCACGCTCTCACAGAATACCAGCGTGAAATAGTAGCTTAATGCTGCTGTATTTCGTATGGTGAGTGTAGAGAACCGGAGACCCTTTTTACTGGAAATGAGGCATTCCATCTCAGTCCTCACGGGTGACAACGCATCTGCATTTTGATTTGTAATGGAAGATAGATGTAGATGTCTATGGGCCGCAGCAACCACTTACCATCAGGTGGACTGTGTGCTCGTTTGTCACCCTATCCCATAAAAAAAAAAAAAAACGTAGATATCAGGTTCACCCAATCGTCGCCCAAAGAGCACTTCAAGGGGAATTTACTACTTTATATTCATTATTGCGCGAAAATGAAGAAACATTTTTTAATTACTTTAGAATGTCAAGCAAAAGTTTTGATGAATTGTAAGTGAAATTACAAGACAACGTAAAACATCCGCGAGGTGTTCGGTGTCGACATATGCTATGTTTGATAAAAATTACTTAAATCACTAACACTACTTAATACCTATAAAATCATACAATCCTATACCTTTAAACGAACAATTCTTGTATATATATAATCGGAATCTCGGAAACGGCTCCAACGATTTTCATAAAATTTAGTGTCCAGGGAGTTTCGGGGGCAATAAATCGATCTAGCTAGGATTTATTTTTAGAAAATGTCCTTTTGTCCGTGTTTTCAGCCAATAACAAAACTGCTACAATATAAGAAGGTAAATTTTGACAGATCACTAACGATCGTAATAGCTCAGGTGGGATGTCGGTCGGGCGTGATATCGGAGTTCCGTGGTTCGCATCCTGTCTCTGGTCCGGCTTTTTTCTTTTTTTTTCAAGTTCCCTTCTTTTGTGAAAAAATCTATTATTTAAAGCCCTTTTTTAGTACTTTTTAAAAATACGAAAATTTTAATAAAACTAATTGTACTCATGATTTTTTATTCAAATAACCTGTTCAGTTGTTTCTATTCTGTCAATAAGATCATAAAATATTATTTATGTTTCATCAGTATGTAATTTATAAATGTAATTTCAAAAAAAAAAAACGAGCAAAGCTCAGTCGTCCGGCTACTATTATTAAAGTTTAGATTTGGTTTTCTTGACGATGATACACGCATCCGTACGGTCGCTGTAGCACTGAACGCGTCAATATGTTTCCATAGCGCGTCGGTCGACCGACCGTACGCATGCGGACGCGCTCCACCGACGGTCCTCGTACGCATTGCGTAACAATATACGCGTGCGTACGGTCGGTCGAGCACTGTAATGACTTGTGAATTTTCATACAAAAGGCAAGCGCGACCGACGTACGCACCGACGGTCGGTCGAGGTCTGAAACTGGCCTAAATTCGACCTGTGATGACGAATGCGAAGCCACCCCGACAAAACAATTTCTCCTAAACAATCCAACATTTAAGCTAGCTTTCGCACAGCTGGGATTGTTCTATTTAATTTAATTTGTTTACTGAACTCGATTTTGCACCTACATTTGTGACAGATAGGCCAAATCCTGTGAATACAATCGAGGCAACTTAGAGCCTATTCAGAATACTAGTTCACCTAAACTCCAACACCATCATGTTCTATTTTAACTCTCGAACCACCGGAAGAGTCGGAGGGGCTTTCTAATACAGCTCTTTTTTACAACAGCAAACTGTAAATATGCCACAGTGTTCACAAGTCCCAGACAGAGAACAAGAAAACATCATTGCAGATCCAGAACATTTAATCACACTACCCGGACATGAAAGTAGTAGTAGTGTTGCGCGAATTTCACCCAAACTCTCTACAAGTTCTCAATCCATTCCTGTGTTAATAAATCAAAAAATATCGCAACTTCGAGTACACCACTTATGTTTTCGCCGGAAGCGGTACGACCACTACCAAAAGCTTCTCCAAGGAAAGAAACAAATAGCGGGCGAAAAACCAGGAAATCTACAATCTACACAGATACACTTGAAAAAGAAGAGACGAGAAGAGAACATGAAAACAGATTGAAACCAATCAAAGCTAAGCAGGTTAAGAAAAGATTTGATGGAGGAAAGACTAAAAGAAATGCTACACACAGGAAAAAACTAACACACAACATGAATCATCATCATAAAGAAGAGGAGTGCTACTGCCTTATTTGTATATTCAAAAAGCAGACCGAGAGAAAAATGGATACAATGCAGAATGTAAAAAGTGGGCGCATGAAGAGCGCACAGAATGTAGTCTTATGTTTGCCACAACTGTGATTCTGAATGATCTCGTAACCACTAAAGTATTTTTGTTTACAGTATTGATTTTTATAGAAATAATAAGTCTTTAGCTTTTTCCTAACCTATTTTATAGCTGAAGTGCTAAAGTTTTCGTTTAAAGCTGTTGAATTTTATTCTCTTAAACAAAAAGTATTGGAGTTTTGTTTTCCCATTTGTTTTGTTTATCTATTCAGCAAAATGTAAAACACTATAGAAATAATGCTTTTAAGTTTTACTCAGTTTTTTATTAGCTGAAGTGCTAAAATCACGTTTATAATTAATGCTGTTGAATTCTGAGAAATATAATAGCAAGTAATAGACAAACATTACTAAAAAAAATCGTCACCAACATCTGATTATTATATAATTTAAAGTTTTAATTTAAGGCTGATTAAAAATAATGTTAGATTATAAGAATTCTGAAAGACTAATACATTAATAAAAAAAAATATATTTATGATGTTCAATTGCCAGTGTGCCATTACGAACCGTAAAATGTTATTAGGCGATGAATAATAATTCTTCAGTTCATATATAATAATTTGCATTATTTCCATGAGTTTCAACAATGTCACAAACAGTGCCTGGGGGGTCACTGTTTTAACCGACCCTGGTTGAAACAAATTATTTTTTTAATTTGATTTTATACATAAAATACAGATATATGGTCCTTTATTTTATATATTGCCGTCATCGCTCGCTTAACTAATCCCGATGCAATGGACTAATGGGCTAACTTTGCCTATGGTAGTGGAATAGACCCCGCCATCTCCTTCGTGGTTATTTTTATAAACCATTCAGAAGTTGACCGGGCTTCCCTCGGCTACACTACGGGAGAGTTGGGTGAGGGAAGCACCACGCCACTCAACGTAGCGCAGTCGAGGAAAACCCGGTTGACGGAGCCCCGCTTCGCTCTAGCTTAGGTCTATTCGCTCGCTCATTCGACCCCGCCATCTCCTTCTAACCCAACCTGTCCGAGTCGGGATGCCCTAAGTCCCGAGCTCGCATACATTAAATTAAAAAAAAAAAAACCAAAACAAAAATAAAAAAACAAACATCTTACACTCAATAAAAACCAAAATAAAAAAATTATGAACGAACATTTTTCAATGTTTCTTTTTTTTAATGTTCGTTTTTTGTGTAGATTATGAAAAAAAAATATAACAACTTCATTTGATTACTTAAAAAAAAGTTATCAGCAATTATACATGAATGAGTGCATTTTCATCACCATTTAAAGCCTTGAAACCAATATAAGTTTTCATTTTTTTTATTCCTGTAATTATTTTATAAATTATATACAATACATCATCGAAATCGGATGATAATAAGATTTACTAGAGCCTAGTACTATTTTGAATCTAATAAAAACCGGTGACTACCCCGCAAGTGTTTGATTCAAAGACGTTTTACCTAAACTGGATGAGAATGCAGTTATTGTTTAGATAATGCATCGTATTATTCTCGAAAACTTGACAAAGCACCTACAACTTCATCTCGCAAACAAGACATTATTGAACGGCTACAGTCAAAAAATATTGCTTGTAACGAATCAATGTTTATGTAGCAACTTTTGGATTTAGTAAAAGAGCAGTTCAATATACTCGTGTCTGAAGAGAGTTCATCAGAAGGAAGTGATGGCGATTGTTTTTAAGATTACAAGAATTATATAATAATTATTTTATTTGTAAGTTCTGGTGCACAATATATTAATTTATACTAAATCCAATATTGTTTTAGTGTTATTTATTTATGAAATTATTTATTTGTAAAAATAATTTTCAACGCAAAACTAGGCACAAAAGAAAGCGGTGAGCTGAAGGTAGGGAAATTTGGAGTAGGGCAACGGAACCGAAGGGGCCAGCAGCTGGCCGACTTTATGGAGAAAGAGGGACTCTTTATGATGAACTCTTTCTTTCAGAAGCGGCCCCACAGGAAGTGGACCTGGTCGAGCCCCGACGGTTCGACAAAAATGAGATTGACTTCATTATCACGACCAGACGCAAACTGTTCAGTGATGTCTCAGTGATCGCAAGGGAAAACTGGCAGCGATCACCGAATGGTTAGAGGCACACTGAACCTAAACGTTAAGTTGGAGTGGTCTCGTCTAATGAAATCAACGCTCCGTCCCCCTCGTGCTCTAATCCAGAATCCCGAAACCTTTCAGCTCGAGTTACGTAACCGCTTACAGTGCCTAGAAGATTGCAATGCAGTGGACGATATGAATGACAAGCTCGTGGAAACTGTCCCATGCGGTCGGAGCTAAGTTCTGCAAGACCCGCCGTAGAAGAACACAAAAACTCTCCGATCACACTCTTCATCTCATGGCTGTTAGACGGGAGATGAGGCTGCAATCGTCAACAGATTTGACAGCATACAGGCAACTGAACAGACAGATCTCCAAATGCATGCGGCGAGACTGACGCAACTTTAATACTGCTCGTATTAAAGAAGCGATCGAGCGGAACCAGGGCTCCAAAGTCTTTGCCAGAGATCTGTCTGCCAGAAAGAGCCAAATGTCAAAGCTGAAGACTGAGTTTGGCATCGTTTCCGAAACACCTGAGATTTTGAGTGAGATTGAAAGGTTCTATGGGCTGCTGTACACATCATCGTTGGAGCAACACGCAAGTGTGAGTAACGATCCAAGAGCAAGTCTTACCCGACACTATTCCGATGATATCCCGGACGTCAGTCTGAGTGAGATTAGAATAGCTCTCCAGCACCTTAAAAACGGCAGGGCCCCAGGCGAGGATGGAATTATAGCGGAGCTTCTGAAAGCGGGTGGAACACCGGTACTTGAAGTCCTTCAGAAGCTCTTCAATTCCGTCCTCCAAGGTGGCACTACTCCGGAGGCGTGGAGCAGAAGTGCGGTTGTCTTGTTCTTTAAGAAAGGCGACAACGCTCTCTTGAAGAACTACAAACCGATTTCCCTTCTGAGCCGCGTCTACGTGCTGTTTTCGAGAGTCATTACGAATCGTCTCGCACGCAGACTCAACGACTTCCAGCCTCCCGAACAAGCCGGTTTCCGAAAAGGGTAAGTTCCGAAAAGGTTCAGTACCATAGACCACATACATACCCTGCGGCAGATTGTACACAAGACCGAAGAGTACAATCTGCCACTTTGCCTGGCGTATGTGGACTATGAGAAAGCCTTTGATTCTGTCAAAATTTGGGCGGTGCTACAGTCCCTTCAGCGTTTTCTCTCGCTGAATTGTTTGTACAGTAGGGCTACGATGGCTATCCGAGTACAGAACCAGAGTTCGAATCCTATCCAACTGCAGAGAGGTGTAAGACAGGGTGACGTTATATCCCCGAAACTCTTCACCGCTGCGTTGGAAGACGTTTTCAAGCTACTGGACTGGAAAGGAACGGTATTCACATCAATGGCGAGTACATCACTCACCTTCGATTTTCCGACGATATAGTCCTTATGGCAGAATCCCTGGAGGACCTTAGCACTATGCTAATGACCTCAATGGTGTCTCCCAACGGATGGGTCTTAAGATGAACATGGACAAAACAAAGATCATGTTTAATGTCCATGTCACACCTATGCCGGTAGTTGTTGGGAGCACTATGCTCGAAGTTGTTGACGAGTACGTTTTCTGGGACAAATAGTCAATAATCCAACTTCACCGAATCAATCGAATTCAACTCCTGCAGCTTCGAAATTACACACTTCTTCTCGTCAGGTATACCTCAATCTCTGAAAACTAAAGTGTACAACCAGTGCGTGTTGCCAGTGATGACTTACGGATCAGAGACGTGGTCCTTCACTGCTGGCCGTATGAGGACGCTCAAGGTCGCTCAGCGAGCTATGGAGAGTGCTATGCTCGGAGTTTCTCTGCGTGATAGACTCAGAAATGAGGATATCCGCAGTAAAACCAGAGTGACCGACATAGCACAACGGATTAGTAAGCTGAAGTGGCAATGGGCCGGCCATATAGCTCGAAGAACCGATAACCGATAGGGAAGAAAGGTTCTCGAGTGGCAGCCTCGTACCGGTAGGCGTAGTGTAGGGCGACCCCCCACCAGATGGAGTGACGACCTGGTAAGACATGCAGGAAGTCGATGGATGCAGGTGGCTCAGGACCGTGCTTTGTGGCATTACTTGGGGGAGGCCTATGTTCAGCAGTGGACTTGTGAAGGGCTGTGATGGCACAGGGCAATGATGATAATGATGATGATGAAAAATAATTTAATTTTCTCTACAGTAACTTTTAGGAAGTATTGAATACTTCGGAATGAACGGGGCTTTACAATTTCAAAACAAGAACAAAGGCATTGGCCCCACCCCTAACAATGACCCATCTCACTCTGTCAATATCGGAAAAGTGCGAGAGACATACTCAGTACTCGTTTGTTAAAAAAAAGCGGACTATAGTAACATTTGAGGAGCTGGCGAAGAGAACAGCGAGTAGTCCACTATAAATTCAAAAACATTTTTTTTCGAATCGTGATGTCCAAGACCCGTTGCTTCGATCCCTGTTAATATTTTCAATCAAAACCGGCTCTTAGTTGGTCAAAAAAAGGCTTTAAAAAGTAAATTTTCAAACAAAACCGGATCAGTCCGTTATCAAACTTAGATTTTAAAAATTTCATCTATTTTCGTTCTGAAGCGGACTTGTCCTATAGAGTATTCATTTCTTCACCAAATTTTTAATAAAAACCGGAAATGTACAGCACACACGAACGATAAAAACACGAAATAGAAGAGAATCTGGCAACTAAAATAAACATGATAAAAAAAGCTATTAC